TTAATGAATATGGTTAACAAGAGTCAGGCCTTGAAAGCCTAAATACCTCTGAAAAGCACCTCTGGGCACTGAAAAGGAGTTTCTATACTACGTTCTTGTCTCAGTCAGGATTTTGGTATGTAGGCAGGCTGACCTCAAACCTTCAATCCTTTTAGGGCTAGTTTTTCGGTTTTTTTTTTTTTTTTTTTGGTGGAACTGGGAATTGAACTCAGGCCCTTGCGCTTGCCAGGGAAGTGCTTATTCCACTGAGCCATCTCTCCAGCCCCAAATTTTAGGTTTTAGGGCTAGTTTTATCGGTTTTTTATTTTTTTATTCCCTCAATCCTTTTGCCTCAGTCTTCAAAGGACTGGGACTCCAGCCATGTACCATCACCCAGTTACACTCCCCTATTCACCAAGTATTTCTTAATCATTTACTATGTGCCAGACTTCTGGAAATACAGGCGAGAACAAGGTAGTCAAAGAGTTCACTAAGTAGTAAAAAAGATAATTTTTCATGTTATATACCTTGAAGATAGTAAAACAGAGTGGTAATGATAGAGAGTAACTGTGGGGGGTTGAGGGTTTAACTCAGCAGTAATTGATTAGCCTGAAACAGGCTCTGGGTTCCATCTCAAGCACTCCCTCCTGCAGTCCCATCCACCCTCAAAAGTAACTGGAAGTTAGTAAAGGGTCTGTGTGAGGAGGTAGCATCTGGGTTGAGAACTGACATGAGGAACCACTCAGGACACTCTGGAGGAGGGCATGTTGGACAAAAAGAACAGGCTGCACAAGGAAGAGGGAGCAAGACTGAGGAGACTGGCATGTCTGAAAGGCATAGTGATGGCTGAACAAGGTGGGAGGCAGGAAGTATGATGGAAAACTGAAAGCTGGGTATGGGCCTTGCAGGTATGAACAGGGTTTGGGTTTTATTCTACATATAATCAGATAGCAGTGCAGAGTTTTCATCAGGAGAGTAATATTCTGACCAAACTACAAACTACTTTGATTCCACCAAGGTACCACCATTTCAAATACAACTTTCCTAACCAGATGTGGTAGTGTATGCCTGTAATCCCAGCACTTAAGAGGCTGAGGCAAGAGGATTACTTGAGTTCAAAGGCCAGCCTGGGCTACAAAGTGAATTTAAGGCCAGCCTGAACTGCAAAGTGAAACCCTGTCTCAAAAAACCAAAACAAAACACTCAAACACAGCTTCCCTCAAATGTCATTCTTGCCATCTGTAATTTCAACAGAGCCAGACAATAATGGTACTATCACCCTATCTAGTCACAATCTCTCCTTTACAGAATACTATAGACTTCTGTGCATTACCACTAACATTACAGTATCCCAATTGCAGTGAGGTCAATCACTAAAATTTGGATTCTTACAAAATGTTGGAATATAATAGTTCATGTTCAATAAATGAAGAAAACAAAGTCTATCTTCTTCCAAATCAATAGCAGAATCAAGAAAGAAATTCTCTTGATATGCTTTTAACACAATTGGCCTACTTTAATTTCTCTGAAAGAAAAAAAAAAATTAACAAAAACAGAGGTTTACCTTCTTTCTATCATCTTTTCTGTCAAATGCACACTGCTGTTTGCATTGTTCACAAGAATATGGTGGTCCATACTTCTTCTCTGAATTTGTACAGCGCTGGCATTTATTGCCAATAAATGCTGCAATTATGTTGCAATACTGACAAGGTTTGGGCTTAAAGAGAGGGGAAAAAAAGGTCAAGTAAATACATTATAAAATACCAGTGCATTTTCAAAATCAGTTTCTACTGTGTAGTCCATTGGTCATAATAAAAATACACCGCCAACATCATAAATTTGCTCTTATACTGATCAAATGAACCCGTCCCCAGGACACAGGAATCAAACTCAGGACCTTGTGCTTACCAGGCAGGTGCTGTGCCACAGAGCTATATTCCCAGCAAGCATATGAATTATTTTTGTTTTGCTTTAGTTTCATGAGGACCACAGTAAGTTAACTCATACAACCCAAATTTCTTTATTTTTCTTTGGTATCAGGAATCAAACTCAGCACCCTTCCCCCCACCCCCAGACAGGGTCTCATTATATAGTTCAGGCTGGCTTTGAATTCACTGTGTAGCCCAGGCTGGCCTCAGAATCACAGGGATTCTCCTGTGTCACCATGACCAGGGTATCTCTAAATTTCTAGAAAGCCCTCTTTGGCACTATCAATGTATAAGCACATCAAAAGAATCCCTTCTAGGATATGGTATCCTGAAGCTTAACGTTAAGAGAAAAAAAAAAAAAAAAATCATTCATCAATACAGATAATTTTTACCAAACAAAGAGGTCATGAAGGGGCCGGGGAGATGGCTCAGTGGAACAAGCGCTTCCCTGGCAAGCACAAGGGCCTGAGTTCAATCCCCGGTTCCACCAAAAAAAAAAAAAAAAAAAGATGAAATGCCAAAAGAACCAAGTATTCACTATTAGGTATGAAAAAATCCAACTTACCGTTCCATACAACTGTACATTCTGAGCACATTTCTTGCATATTGTATTGGTTTTACTGTTAGAGAAAAAGAGACACAAAGCTTGCTTAGAACATGTGAAAACTTTTTCTTTCAGCCCAAGGAATTTGTTCATTAGTGAAATACGGAGTGGATATCAGTTAACTCAAGTCTGAGTATCTGATCAGCAACTCTTTTAATTACTGTGATTATTTATTGTATTATTCAAAATAAAATCAGGCTTTAAAATAGTGAGTTAAAAAATAATAAAATAGTGAGTTATTTTTTATCATGACATCTCTAAGTATCCCTATGTAAAATTATCAGATATGGTAAAGCCGCAAAGCATCATGTTAGATTGAAATGGACCAATAGAAAAGAAATTAATCTCTTCAATTCAGTTGAATAGCTAAGAAATTTAAGGGGAAAGAGAGAGTTATTGGAGTTTGGAATATGAACTTAAGAGATTCTACCTTTTTTTTGTGTGGTACCAGGGATGGAACTTGGGACCTTACACATGCCGATCAGGCACTTATGCCACTGAGCTGTCTCCCGTGCCCAAGATTCTACCACTTGACTTTATTTTATGTTATCTTCTGCAAATAAAAATATTAAAATTCCAGAGGCAAACAGACACTATAACCAAATATTTTGTCAATATTTCTGATTTCCTGAGTAGTGAGACCCTGTATCAAAAAAAAAAAAAAAGTATATTTCTGATTTCTCTAAGAGTTAAGCACTAACAAAAATAAAAATGTCCTTGTTTTGTTTTTGAGACAGGCTTTCACTATGTAGAGTTCAGTCTGGCCTTGAACTTATAGTGATCCTCCTGCTTCAGCCACCCAACTGCTGGAACTGCATGTGGCTCTATGCCCAGCTAAAA